ACACACAAACAAAAATTGCAGCACTTACTAGTGAGATGACTTTTTTTTTTTGGGTGTTTTTTTCATTTTTATTATACATGCATTGGTGTAAATATGCTAATTACAATGTATATTTTCAAAAACTAAGTACAGTTCAAAGGTCAGTATTTCAGGGCGTAACCAGAGGCATCAGCAGACCCCTTTTACTGGAGCAGGTGCCCCGATATTAATGAGCAATTCCCCAGGTGCGGACTACCATTAGACTGACTGGAACGTTACAGTGAGAGGGAAATTAAAAAAAAAAAAAAAAGAAAAAAACTTACTACTCAGCTGTTAATATGCCAGACACCTGCGGTGTTTCCCTAAATTTATCAGTATGCGACCTACTTGTGACGGATACTCCCTCCGATGTGCATTACTCACAAAAAAGTTGGGATATTTGGCTTGCAGGTGAAATTTCAGGACGGGCCTAATACAGTATAGTTAACATAAATCACCGAGGGAGCTACACATGGATGCAAACGAAAAACTAAAACAAACTAAAACAATTCATTTAGATGAAAATAAAGTAAAATAATTGGGCACACATAACTCAAAACAATTTTAACATACATTTTAAGACATTAAATATGTATATGTGTCACGTTGCGAGCGAAGCGGAAAGGAACACGCTTCATTCGCAACAAAATTGAAATATAGGATTCCCGAAACAGCAGACACCAACAAGAACTCCGTACGAAAATAATATTTATTAACAAAAACCGCACCGCCGAAAATAGACAACAGAAAACGCTGGTCAAAACGAGTACCAGGAAAACATGCAAAAACCCAATAACAAAAAACGCTCGCACTAAGGCAACGGAGAAAAACAAGCTCGAATACAATTACACACGACGAAAAGACTACACCAAAAAGAGCCGACGAATCTAACTAGCGCACTAAGACTAATACGAGAGGCAAAAAACCGACACACGGGCAAAGCAGTGGCACGGCAAGCAATTGTCCGGCAAGTGAGAGTCAGAAAGACAGCCCTAATAAAGCAGGTGCTTAGTGACCAATAGGTAGCAGGTGTGCAGCCAGCAAGAATGCACCGCCTGCCACCTACTGTCCAAAACGGAACATGATAATATAAACATGAAAATGTTCAATATTATCTGCTGACAAAAAAATGCAAAAGGGTACAATGATTATCCTGACTAAACCTAGACTGAAATGTCAAATTTTGTTTGTTTTATTTTGTTTGACTAAAACTAGACAAATAAAAAGTTTTCTTGGACTAAAGTTAAGACAAAATTAATCCAGTTATATTCGACTATAGCTTAACTCAATAAAAACGGGTTGAGGTTGACTAAATGTGCTAAAAACCTAACAAGTGCGAGTGAAATTGGACAAAACTCAGGTCAAAATTGGATGGCGGCCGCCTCCAGCTAATTTTTGCCGGCGCCAGCCAGATCGATTGATATCACTCAACACAGCGTAAAGCTCCAGCGGTGTTGATTGAGTGATGAATGTCCCTCTGCGGAAGCTTCGTATTTTAACTGCAGTGGCAGCGCTGCACCACGATGGAGACACTACACTACATCAACAGCAAGGCACTGTACACTTTATTTATGCTTTTAACAGTCTCGACAAACACAGACACGTCTGCGTATGACTCCGTGCCTTCTTTCTTCTTGTTCGACTCGAGAGGTGTTCAAAGACAGCCTCAGAAAAACAGAAATTAACGATCACTTCACTGACACTAATAAAAGCGAAAATAATGCACCAAAACAAAAAAAAAATCAAGCAAGGAAATGACAAAATAAATTCTATGGGGGTGTTTGTGAACACAAAACAAAGGAATGAATAACAAACAATTCTGAGACAGTCCAGCCTCCTACATACATACAGCATGTGTTTCCTTCACTGTAAGTTTTATAGAAGGCTTTTATTTTTTTGCGGCTCCAGGCATATTTGTTTTTTGTTTTGTTTTGTCCTATATGGCTCTTTCAACATTTTGGGTTGCCGACCCCTGGGTTAGCGCATTGGCCTCGCAGTGCAGAGATGCAGCGTTCGATTCCGACTCTGACCTCTCTGTGGGGCGTTACCATGTTCTCACCGGTACTCCGGTTTTCTCCCACGTTCCAAAACCCTGCGTGGCAGGTTAATGGAACAATCTAGATTGTCCCTAGGTGTGAGTGTGAGCGCGGATGGTTGTTTGTCGTTGTGTGGCTATGATTGGCTTGCAACCACTTCGGGGTGTACCCTGCCTGCAGCTGGGATAGGCTCCAGATGGTTGTTCATCTATGTTTGCCCTGGCTAGCAACCAGCTCAGGCAGTATTATCTCTCACCACCACTGCCTGAAGACAGCTAGGATAGGCTCCAGCACACCCCGCGACCCTTGTGAGGATAAGCGGATCAGAAAATGGATGGATGGATGTTCTCAGAGTGGGTTAAACAGATTTCCCCATATTTCCCCAGAAGACGGTTTAGGTTTCATGAGGTTGTAGCACAAAGTTTGTATATTTTCGCGAAAAGCTTTTGCCATCAAACATGCTGTTCGCCAGGAAAATTACACTATTTTTGAGAGTCTAAACATACACCTAAACCTAACACCTAACCTGTGAGACTTTACAAACATGTTGGCCTCACAACAGCATCAATATTTTATTTGGTTCTTGTGAGATTTAAAAAAAAAATGGTTCAACAACACCCCCTTCAAATTTTTAGCAAAGCAGCACTAGTTGAGGTGTCACAAAGATCAACAAAGGTTTTGAGGTGTATGTGACAGCCCAAGATCAACAAAAAAAGTCACTTGGAGACATATGCTAAAACTAAGAGGAAGTCTGCCATTTTTAATTTTCTTCAGGCTCGTGTTTGGCCTTTTGTAAAGGTCACATTTTAAAAAAACCTTCAGCAACAGGTTTTATCCAATTCTATGATTGTATTCTACACATTAATTCTTTGATTATAACATTTTTTTAAAGATCAAGAGAAGGCATAATATATGTCACGATTAAAATTTCAATCGTCCATTCCTAAATAGTAGAGCAGTGATGCACAAGCTTTTTTCCACCTCGTGGTTCATGTTCCGACTGATATTTTGTGGATTGGCAACCATCCGTTACATTTCTGTCATCTAAAAGCTCCACCACAGAAGATTGTATTTATGGTTTTTAAATCTATTTCTATGGCCCACAAACCGGTACCGGGCTGGGGACTGATGTTTGGAGCACCACTGAATTAGTGGGCTTGTGCCTCACAATTCTCCTGCACATGACCAAACCATAGCATTTGTAGAGACAGTGTGCACAATGGCAATCAGCAGATGATTTATTCACAAATTTCAGTAAATTTGTTTTTGCCAAAATATTATAAAGCAGGTTGCCCTTCATATACAGCAGTACACAAGACGTAGCTCTCAGATTAAAAAGGATGGTCAAAAAGGCTGGTGTGGAATGTAGCAACCCAGCATTAGTTAAATATTCACTCCCACCCACACCCCCACAAACGTGTGCGGACACTTGCCTGATGGTGTGCATTGAGCAGCCAGTGAACAGAGCCATCTCCTGACGACATTCTCTGTCGCAGCAGCAGTTGATGTCGCAGAGACCCTCGTGCTCATCACAGGAACACACATTGCCAACTAGCAGGTATAAGGTAGAAACATGTTATACCCATAAAACTATGCTGAATGAAGTGCACTGTACTTTCGAAAAAATTTATAAAATTAAATAACTGGTTCACATTGTCATTTGATATACACTGCGCACGGTAATGGTATTTTTTTCATGCAACAAAACTTTACAATTACTGTCCAGTGAAATAAAACGCAACTTGACAAGGAAATAAGCACTAGTCTTTCATGACTGCGGTCAAGCCAGCCTCCACTCGCAAAATTGAAGTCAAATGAGCCGCCACTGCGATTGTTAGTGCTCTGCATTACGGTAATCTGCCGCCAGCGAGTGGCGTTAGCCACCTTCAAAATAAAAGCGACTCCACGAATGCATAAACGTCATTTGTTTGGGTTAAAAGAAATTAATAAAAATATAAAATAAGTACTTTATTGTTTTATTGTTTATTGAACATATAGAACATACAATACAATCACAGATTGACAAAAGTGAAGGTAAGTAAAAATTATAAAAAGAAAAATAAAGACAGACATTCTCACAGTTTTATGTTCAAAGGAGTAGGAAGAAGTAAATAACTTATCTAAAATCTACATATCATCAAATACTTTTACCCTTATGTGTACTGTACTTATCGATTTATACACCTTTCGGTTT